TCATAAACTTCATACATGTATAACTTGGTTTTTAAAACATTGTTTTTTTATTTTATTATCAGTTTTAAGCATTATATATGACTAGGTGGTTAGAAGCATGAAAAGCAACTGCATTGTAAACGAGTAAAATTATAGCGTTTCCAATATCCAAAATTACAACTTTAGATACACCAATTGTATCATAAATCACTAAAATACCACCACAAAGACTGAATATTGAAATGCGATGCCCCCACAGCTATTATTTGAGACACAGGACTAAGCGAGCAATCATAGAATTTCTGTGTTGATAAAATCCCAGAATTGAAAAATAAATGCCAAATGTATTAGTAATTACAAAAATACTGATATGAGAAGAGACCCACAGTCCTGAGATGTTCTGTTTCCAGAAAATCATTATTTTTTCATGATGATGTAATAAAGAGGTTGCTGTTAATCAATGTTTTTATATGTCTGCCTTAATATGCCTTATACCGGTAGATGTTGGAAATCTGGTGTTTTTCAGTCGTTGTGATCGGAAAAATACATCTTTATTACATCTCCAATAAAAGCGTTTTGGCTTAAATTTTCTGTAAATGGATAGGTTTTCTACCATAAACCTTCTACACCTCAGGTCACACGCCAGCTGAGTATTAATATGCAAGCTGCAACTCAAAAACACAAACTATAGGCTGTTGTTTAGGGTTATTAAAATCGAAAAAAAAAAGTATATATTTCGCAAAATAATAAGATAAATGCAAAATATCTGCTTCTCAATTTCTTTTGTGAATCTCACTTACAAATCTGCACCCTATTATACATGATGAAATTCAGAATTTCGGGGAACCCTCTAGCAAATTAGGGTTGGATTTAGGATATGTTTTAATCTGAGTGCCCCCGGGCTGTGTATGGACCCACAGCTATTACACATGATCCAACATTTATTTTTGGAGGTTGGGACAATTGCTATCGAATAAATTCAAATATAAATATGTCATAAAACTGCAATGCACCATTCATTTACAAATACGCGACACAGTCAGCTGGCATGTGTACCACTGCGACACCACAGTCCCTATCATCATGGAGGGATTGTTATTTTTTGCAAAACAGTTGACAGTGATAGCACCGTTCACCGGCATTTTCTTAGCGCTTGTCGAATTGTTTGTCTTTGACATACCATTGTGCTATTAACGCTTACCAAGATAATTTTCTCTGTATTTATCAGCCTTGACGTCTTCCCAACTGAACTGATCTGTCCCTCCCCTCACGCCGCCACGAGATGGATGATGCATAACTCTAAAACGTTAGTAATCGTCAGCTGGTACAGTGACCACAGTATATTTTTGTTGCCCGAGTTGTCAGGTCAGGTCAGGTCAGCCTAGCCTCGTTGTACAGTTTATTCTAAAAGGAAACTAATTATCTTTCAAAATAACTTGTATATAATATAATGATTAAATTATTGTTTAATAGATTCTTTTAAAACTACAAAATAAAAAATCTTAACTTTTTAAATGAAATTACTATTAACTATCTGAATATTTAAATGAGTCGTAAGTGAACGAGGATGGGGTCAAAGTAAAATTTGTAAAGCATTCTGGGAATACACATGGTGAACAAAATGGCGGCTGCTGATTTTGAGAAAGCCCAAGCTTTGTCAGCAACTGATCCTAATGCAGCAGTCGGTATTTTACATTCAATTGGTAAGTATGAGTAAACTGGTTTAGGGGAAAATAGAAACACCCCTGATACTAAATTTCTTGTGCAAAATTATGTACGGTTCGCGAACTTGTCAGTAGTTCTACCAGCAGAAGACTTCTCAAAAGTGGCTGACTCACTATGGTAAAATCGTACGGTGACACAGCAATGAGGATTGTTTGTACGGCATCTTTATTGTTTTGTTCTATTCTATATTTGACACAATTTTTTTTCGCATGTCTTAATACTTTTCATCACTTAATTAAGTTTGTCATCGAATTCTTCAGTTTGATTAACCTGCAATTAGTGCATACACCGATCCCACGAATCATTGTGTACAACATTGAAAACTCATGAAATAAAAACACACACACAGGCGAAACTGTGTGATGCTTGTAGAGTCTCAGTAATGCCATAACAATCACTGGGACATGAGATCTAAGTATGATTGATACTAGGATCAACTTTGTAACGCATCTCAACTGAAATTAAATCTGAATTCTTAAGCTACTTAGTTTGTTCCGAAACACTGTTTCATCTTTTGATTGGTTGATTTTTCAGTGAAAAGAAATGTGGCAACTGATGACGATGAAGGAATACGTATCAAAGAGCAAGGTATCTTAGAGTTGGGATCACTGCTGAAGAAGACTGGGCAGCCTGAAGGTATTACTACATTAGAATCTGGCATCTTTAGTATAACATGCCTCTCTCCATAAACACTCATTGGGGCCTACACTCTTGTCCCACAAATTTGTAAGTTATACAGCAGAAAAGCAAACAAACAATCTGGCACTGGCAAAATGAACACTGCAAGACGAGTGTGAAGACAGCATACAATTTGATTCGAGTGCAATTCAAATTTGATTGATACTCCCATTGAAATATCTTAAATTCACACAAATGTTTATAATTTGAGCCAATGTAACAATATTTTTCTGGGGGGGGGAATGGCTGGGTTGATAACATTTGCAGGATCGTATGCGGTCTTCATACTCATACACTCCTTAGCAAGTCATCAAATATGATATTTAAGGTTTTCATCAGTGCATACATTTTTGGCACTCTTTAAAACTGAACAGAGTAAAATCCATACTCAATCCCAAACTTCTATTCATTGAAATTGTTTTGTTTATTCAATTTTATGCAAATTAGCCATGTTCCAATCACAAAGATGTGTTCATTTTAATATTTTCTTTTGTATAGTGAATAACCATATTATGACTGTAAGGAAATTCACTATTATGATTAACTGGTTGGTCATTTGTAATATTATATAATGTCTGTAATAAATTCATGACTGTGATAGAAATAACTTAAATAAATGGGCAAAGTAAATTAAAGAAACCTATCTGCCATCCACATTATTTTGTTAGCTCGTTCCTTGTAACACAGACATTTTTTACTTGGTCTTTGTTATTTTCTTTGGTTCCCCTACATAATATATAAACCTCAAATATTTTGTTACCATTGGATCCTATTTCAATGTGTACGGTAGTATTAACTACATTTCAATGTTTCTCATAGAACTGGCTGGCTTGATAAAATTCACTAGACCATTCCTGAATTTAGTCAGTAAAGCAAAAGCAGCTAAAATGGTGCGAGCCTTGGTTGATATGTTCTTAGATATGGAGGCTAGTACAGGAAAAGAGGTAAGAATGCTGTGTTTTTTTTTGTTGTTGATCATATTCATATTTTTCATTGTCACTCCGTCAGATATTTCATGTTTTGTCGTCCTGTTTGCTTACATCACTGAAGAAATTTCAGTCTTCTACATATTTTTGCTTAGCCTTTCCTGTCTAATGCATTTTCTTTTCTTTAGGTTCAACTTTGTAATGAATGCATAGATTGGGCCAAAGATGAAAAGAGAACATTCCTTAGACAAGCACTTGAAGCTAGATTACTAGCTTTATATTATGATACAAAACAGTTCCAAGAAGCACTGTTGATAGGTAAAGTCCATTCACATTCTTATTTCAAATTACTGTGTACAATGTTTTTCTGTTGGAACAGCATTTAAAAAAACAAACATTTCATTTGCCTTGTGTTGACTATTCTTAGAGAATTATATCGAGTATCATCATATGACAGCAGTTCATGTTCATTGACAGTTGTGAAATATCACTGTTAAAATGGTCGCCATGTTATTGTTGTCATTTTATGTAATATATATTGTTTATTTTCAGGTTCAGCATTGTTAAAAGAACTCAAGAAAATGGATGATAAAGCTCTATTAGTGGAAGTACAATTGTTAGAAAGTAAAGTATATCATGGCCTAAGTAATCTCCCAAAATCTAGGTATGTAATAGTATTTTGATAAATTTTTATGTCGTCAATGATTCATCAACTTTGATAAAGAATAAAAGACCAGAATGGATGCTTTACTGTTTTTATCTGACAGGGCGGCATTGACGTCAGCACGTACCACTGCAAATGCTATCTATTGCCCACCTAAATTACAAGCTGCTCTAGACATGCAATCAGGTGAGCTTTGAATCATTTGTGTACACTTACATCATACTGAGATTACAGTTCATAAAATTTACATCAATTGTAGCAAAGTGTACAGAAAATACAGTAACAATCTCCTATGTGTACTCTTTCTGTCTTCATTGCTTTTTTTCCTTGTATCACGCTACAGCTTTTTTAACTTAATGTTTGTCCCTTTCTAGGTATTCTGCATGCGGCAGATGATAAAGATTTCAAGACTGCTTTCTCTTATTTCTATGAAGCGTTTGAAGGTTACGATTCAATAGATAGTCCCAAAGCTGTTGTTGCCCTCAAATATATGTTGCTTTGTAAAATTTTACTCAATAAGTAAGTATGCAATGTTGAAAAATTTTGATTTGAAAAAAAAAATGCCCGTTTCCTATATAAATTGAGAATATTCAAAAAATATTGCTGTAGCAGTGTCGTCTGGAAAAGAAACTATTACATCATCTAATTGTTTTGAAGTATCTTGGGAATGATATTGAGTATTTAAAAAAATAAACTGAGGATTTTTAATCATGTTATACAATTGTGTTTATTCATCTAGTCTGTGTGACAACTTTATGCAATGTACTTCAGGAATTGTCAACAGCTCCTCCTCTATACTATAATACTCTGCTGTTAATTTCATTTAATTGGAATGTAATCTTCTTAACATCCTGCACAATTAGTAATAATGATTGCAAGGTATAGAGTCTAAAATGTCTGATGGTGACGATGTCAGTAACATTTTTATTGTCGAATATGTTTTCCTGTCTTCAAAATAAAATCTTCATGTTCAATTTTGTTGTTGATTTTCAGTCCTGATGATGTGCAGTCTATCATAAGCGGTAAATTAGCCTTGCGTTATGCAGGACCTGAAGTAGAAGCTATGAAAAGTATCGCATCAGCTTACCAAAAAAGATCACTATCTGAATTTAAAAAGGTACTTACAGATGCACATTGATCAACAATGTGTAAATTGAAATGTTTATCCATTGACAAATGTATAAATATTTGTAAAATGAGAACAAGGTAGAGTGAACCAAGTGAGTATTGGTCACCAAATCCGAGAGGAGAATAACACACTGGAGAGGAGCACTTGTAGCCAAGGTGTTTATTGCTCAACTGCTAGGCCTGGAACTGAGTCTAAATACTCACGAGATGTTCCATGACAATGTGGTCAATATCATTATGCAAATAACTAAAATAAACGTCATAGCCTCAAATCATTACAATATTCTTCTTGAAATTATCCTCGACTGTTGTTCTTGTTAGTGTTCTGATCAGAACTTTCATGCATTCTTGAGATGTGAACAAGATCTAGTCAGTGCTAAAGATGCTCTGGATAGCTTTAATGCTTCAGTGAATTCAGAATTCAGTATCCATGGTTGACAATTTATAATCAATTTTATTGTTACAATACAGACTTTGGCAGTATATAAAGTGCAGCTCATAGATGATCCCATTATCAAAGCTCATTTAGACTCCTGTTACGACAATTTATTGGAACAAAACCTTTGTCGAATTATAGAACCATTCTCTAAAGTACAAGTACAACATATAGCAAATATAATCAAGCTACCTCTGGTAAGTTTACTTATGTTATGACAAAACAGCTCTGGACTTTTAACAGCACCATTGCCCTTTTCAAAACACACATACAGTGTATTTTTAGTCCCCGTTCATACACATTTTTTGTGTTTCGAAAGCTACCACTCAAAGCAATGGATTACTTCAGTATTGCAACATTGGGATTCATCCTGAGTAAATAACGGAATAGAAAGAGTGCAAACCATGTTGCGTACGTTGGTCATGCACTCAGAAATGAATGCAAGTTTTCTCTTAAAATCACGTACCAAACTACTGAAACAATCGCGATTTTTATGCAATGTAATAAAATTCATTGACGCCCAGTGAAAACACCCTTGGCCTATAATTGGGGATGCACTCAACTCGTTAAATGTCAAAAAATAGAGAGGTGGGCTTATACTCGGGGAGTGGGGTGGGTTTCGCTTATGATCAGGGAAGTATGGTACCATGTTTACATTGAGCAATTGGGCTCATTTACCTGCACATGTTTACAATGGGAGCACCCCCAAAAAAGTTCACTAAAATATGGCTCGATCTGACTATCTGAGGTTTATACCATTAACATTTTGGCTACCTGACTCGTTCAAATATGTCTTTTTAACGTGTTTACAGTAAGCACATCAATTGATAATCTACATTTAAGGTGGTTTTATCTCACTGTAAATTCCCCCTGCATCGTGAAATGTTGGGAGTTGCAAACTTTAAGTTGTATTTTAGAGAAGGCCATATAGTAGGCTGCAATTACAGACACGGACATTTTATCTCTTCTATCTTTGCAGAATTTAGTAGAAAAGAAACTTTCCCAGATGATTCTCGACAAGAAGTTTCATGGTAAGTGTCGCTGTCTAAGACATTTATTACATAGCAAACATAAGAACAAACCTAATATATCCTGCAAATAAATAACATTTTTGCAGGTCACCAGTTACATATTTGTTGATTTAAAACTCCAGTTCTTGTGCATTTTATAATGTAAATACTGTAATTATACTGTAATGCATTAATTATTCACTGGGTTTTAATTTTGCTAATAAGTAAAATCCCCAAAATTAAATCTATGTAAAATAACAATAAACTCATTGTTTCCTTGACAAAATCAAGAAATTAAAACACAGTGAATGCGCTCAAATCAATTAAATAGTGAAATTAAATGGTTTTACAGTAATGTATTTACACCATTCTATGTTGCATAAGATTTGTATCAAACCCAACTCGGCACGTTCCAATGATTGTCTCTTTAATTAGTCCCCGTTCGAACACAGTCCGAAAACGGGGACTTATGTTTTGACCTCCGTGTGTCCGTGCATGCATGCGTGTGTGCGTCTGTGCGTCCGGACCTGTATCTTAGAAATGCCTGTACAAATTGCAATCAAACTTCACTCATACATCATACATGATATTATACATATGCACGTCAATTTGTTCCACGATCTGATCCAAGATGGTCGAATGGCGGCCATTTTTGTGCTAAAAATCATAAAAATCAAGCATTTCTTGGCTGTTTACAGATGGATTTTGTTCGAACTTGAGATTACATTAGACATTATGGGACCTTGATGCAAATAATTTTGTTTTTCAGATAAGATTCAAAATGGCCAACTGGCGGCCATTTTGTATTAATGAATGTGGTTCTCGTGTCATATCTCTGACTTGCTTTCACTGATTATGTTCAAATTTTAAATATTCATTATACATCATGTCATAGATAAACAGATATATTGGTTTGACTATCCTATTCAAAATGGCCAAATGGTGGTCATTTTTGTGCTAAAAAATCATCAAATATCAAGCATTTATGGGTGGATTTCGTTCAAACTTGGTACATACATTAGACATTATGGGTTCCTGATGCTAGTCATTTTATTTTTCAGATTGGATTCAAAATGGCTGACTGGAGGCCATTTTGTTTTAATGATTGGGTTTCTAGAGCCATATCTCTTAAATGCTTTGACTTATTATATTTAAATTTTATATATTCGTTATACATCATGTTATATATATACATGTATTCACAATGGCTGATGTTGAATGCTGTTCCAGAGCAATATCTCTCAAGTACTTGTTTGACGATCAGATACAAATGTCAATCATTTTAATGTTAAAAAATCATATTCCTGACATGGTTATATTCCAGCTATATTACTATAAACAAAACTATATATCTTAAATTTGATAACTAACGGGGACTGTGCCATGCATGGCTTGTTATATAAATTGTCCAAGTTATGCTTTCATTCCCATTCATTCGTGAACTATGCATTGTTATCACCAACAGGTATTTTGGACCAAGGAATGGGTGTGCTTGTGGTGTTTGATGAACCAGTGGTGGACAAGACATATGAAAATGCTCTAGAAACTATCCAGAACATGGGGAAAGTGGTGGACTCTCTATATAACAAAGCCAAAAAATTGTACTAGAAACCACCAATAATGAACAGTGCCCTCACTTTTGATTCATATAAAACTTTCGTTTTGTACAGTTTCTCTTAATATTCTACAGAGGGCGCTTTAACCCTCATCTGTAGTAGGTTTTTTCCAGTCGCCTGAAACCTGTTCATGAACAACAGTGATAATGATGAATAAAATTCCAGCACGTTTTTGAGCATTGGGGTGTTGACATATAGCGGTCAATCTTAGACTTTTAGAGTCTAATAACACGTCATCATATTTTAAAGTAATTATACCATGTCATCAACACTAACATTTTTGCCATCAAGTGTAAGGCTATAAAATAATATTTTATATTTTCTCTGAAATCATCAACTGTTTGTGAGGTATTTTTGTATATTCATTTTTTGTTTCCCTTGCTTCCTGATTGTTTAGCATTGTTATCTAGCCTGCCATGTCAGTCAACTGTTTTGTTATCCACACTATAGTATTACAATTTATGTTACTTGTAATATTAAAAATCATATTAATTAAAAAAAAATTAATGCACATTTTGCACTATGGTTTTGGAGTGTTTCTTTATTCCTTTTTATTATTACTTTGGTCAGCTGTTCATAACTCTGCAAAATGGCTAGTGCTTTTTGAATTTGCTGAGAATCACCACCTGGCTCACTCACAAACATACTGTAAAAAACAGAACTGTTGACCATTGTTCTGGAGCATGATCTTACTGCCATATTTTTTTACATTCCTACAAATCTTGTATCCATCTCCGCAGCTGACAATGAAACAAATAGCGCCATCTGTGTTTGTGTCGTGACAGGTAACTTTCTGTAAATTATTTTTTCACCCAAACACAATGACGAAGTGTGATTCGCATTTAGAAGGAAAGGAAACAATAATAAATTCACACTATTACAGCTGGTTGTCCCTTTCAAAAGATCGGCTATTTTTAGTCCCCGTTCAGACTTGGTCTGAAAACGGGGACTTGTGTTTTGTCCTGCGTGCGTGCGTCCGTCCATCCGTGATCACCTGTATCTCGAACATGCATGGACCGATTAAGTTCAAACTTCACTCATACATCACACATTATATGGGACATATGCACATGCATTTTTTTCATGATCCGATTAACGATAGCCAAATGCATGCAAATGCATCAAAATTGCACATTTTCACCATTCCGGACCCGGATCTCAGTTATGCATGGACGGATTTTGTTTAAATTTGGTACATACATTAAACATAATAGGACCTTGATGCACGTCGTTTTTTTTTCCGGATCAAGTTCGAAATGGCCGACTGGCGGCCATTTTGTTTTAAAAAATTCAGTTCTGGATCCGTATCCGAGACATGTCTGGATTGATCAAGTTCAAACTTCACACACACAAGGTACATCATGTCACAAATAGATATGTGCAATTGCTTCATGATCCGCTTAACAATAGCTGAATGATGGCCATTTTAAGGCCGAAAATGCATCAAAATCATGTATTTTCACAATTCCGGATCTCAGTCATGCATGGATGGATTTTGTTCAGTACAATGTGTTGTACATATGCAGGTGCATTTCGGATTAGACCACTGAAAGTGGTCTGAGATTTCGGTCATGATCTGCTTTGAATGTATATGTCACTCAAATATGAACGGAACGGGACGTGTCATTGACAATGACTTGTTAATTTAATGTTTCACCTTAAATGAAGCAGTCGTCAGGAACTGGTAATCGGTGACACGCCCTTTGAAGGGTCTTATATGGAGTGAATTTATCAAACTTTTACAGCATTTAGAAAACGTTTATATGTAAAACATAAATCCAAAACCTTTCAGAGTTAGGTGTTCTAGAACTCCTTATATGGATTTGAGAATACATCTATTTGTTAAAACCACACACTCCTAAATTATATTTTTTGTGTGAAAATATGGATTTTATAATTCAAGATAAAGAATGCACAAAGAAATTATAACTGGACCGCTGTTGGACAACTGGTGTATACATTAACACGCTTGTTTCTCTACTTCCTAATAAGAATATTCATAATAGCATCAAATATATTGTCATGCCATTCGTAGTCTACAAATTACTGGCCACGTTTGACAAGAAATTAATGACCATGCTCATTCAGAAATTCAATGTTTTATTAATACGTTTATCTGCTGAATATGTGACTTGCATTATAAAAAAGATCAATAAAATTATTTGACATATTTAGGAATTCCTTTCTCAAATTCGAGGGAACTGCCTGGGACATAGCCTGACAATTTGGCGTAGGTGGCGCCCTAAACTGCTGCGAACCCTACCCAGCAGTTCGCAGCAGTCGAGGGCACCAC